GTGTATCTGAGGCTCACTGACTGCAAAATGCGTGTTTTTAGCAGAAACACCCTGGCTCCTTGTTCTCCAGCTGGCTCCATGCAGGGTCTGCCCAGGGCTCTGTTGCCCTCACTGCTGTTGGCTGAGCCCAGGCTCAGTGGGGTCTGTATCCTCCACCCAGTGGGAGAGGTGGGTGGGGGGCTCATGAATGTGTGGTGTCTGCCATTCATATCTTCTGTTAAGAGTGGAAAGGACCCCTGTTCATAATGGATTGTTGATGGTCTGAGGATACAGCAGCCTGCAGGCTCTGCCCCATACCCTGTGCACTCAGTGGCAGTGAATGCACCCCTTCATGGACCTCCAAGGGACTCTGGTCTGGGGACTCTGAGCCACAATTGTTCATCCTGGGCAGAATGGTTTCTGGGGAGAGGGACTTTTCATTGTTGTCAGGGAATTTTCCCCATTTGTCCAGAGAATAAGCGTTTTGTCTCCAGAAGTCAGATAAGCTTGCTCAGGATGTTAATGATGTATTTTAATTCATGGCTCATAATTCTGCAGTGTGACTCTCGAGGCCTTTTCATTGTCTCAAGGAGAACAAGTCTGCAGTGTCCTGTGGTACAGACTGGCAGCTCCCACGTGGTTTGTGGGTGTGCTGGGCCCTGCACCCACTCCCACAACCTCTGGAGTTCCTGGAACTGCCTGAGAGGAGCTGCCTCCCTTTCTTTTATGACTTGCCTTTTGGAGTCCAAGCTCTTTTGCAGACAGACGTGTTTATCTTGAGTTTTTCTCTGGGTTGAGCTGTTAAAAGTTGGTACGTTGGTGGGGGAATTTCCCTGCTCCTCTGGGCCTCCTGATCCCCATTCCTTGTAACCCATAATTCAGATCCTAGCCTTTTGCTCATAGAGGCCGGGTACACAGCCATTCCCCCACAGCAGGCCTCCAGCTTTGACTGACACCAGTCCCCTTCAAGCCCAGCTTCTCTCTGGAAAGGGGACTCAAAAGCACACAGCCAGGGACAGTTGGGTCACCTGGTTTTGGGGATGGCAGATCTCTGTAGAACCCTGGTAATATTAATGGGTAAACCAGAACTGAGCAAGTCTTAGTCTAGACAGAGCCTTGAAGGCAGCAAACCCTAGCCTTGACCCCCAGCCAGTAGATCTGATGAAGTCCCAGCCTCACCTGACTTAGCAGATGCGATGAGGTCCGAGCTGTGCTGGAACAAATGAAGCTTGGCTTTCGGTTCCCTGCTAGGCCTTTGTTCTTATTTTGCCACAACTCCTGGTTCAGGCAAACTTCGGGAGCTGGGTTGCTTTGGAAATGACTAGATCGTGTAACAATTTGAAAATTCACCTCCTAGGGCCTTTATCAAGGTGACATTCTCATATTGTCAGCTACCCTGGCTTTAGGGAAAGCAGGGGAAATCATGCAGCCTTTGTCTGTATTGGTTCCATTCACAGGCAGAGAGCTGAGATGGACTGTCTGTCACGAACATTGTGTAAAAATGTATTTACAAAACAGGACAAGGCTGAATTCAGCTGGCCAGAAAAGATTGTTTAAGATGTCAGAGGAAAACCTCAGACCATTCCTGGGTTTTGTCTCTCCACTTGGTAGGAAGGGTGTATACTTGTCTCTGCTAGTCGGTTGGCTGATACTCTTTCTGAGGAGAGCATTGTGGCTGGGCTCGTGGAGGGCATCTCCATAGTTGATGGGGTATCCCTCCTCAGAACTGAGAGGCCCCACTTATTTCAAAGGTCTGTTTTTTCCTTGACTTTGAAAATTAGAGTTAGGGAAAGGTAAGCTCCCAATTGCATTCCTGAGTGCCCAGCTTCTTTGTGTCTGGTCGGGAGGAGGGTGATAAAGGGGAGGTGGAGTAGAGGAGGGCCTCAGATGGGGTGGGAGTTGGGGAAGCTGTAGAGCATTTCTGCTTTCCCTTGTGTTTCTTACTGGAATGGCAATTGAAGCTTTAATGTCTTGGGGGATAACTTCCCAGAGACTCTACACACCTACCACCACAATCCAGTGTCCAGAACATCTGGGTAAATTTGTAAACTGCCTTGAAATACGCCGTCATACATTTCCCAGGATTGGGAATGACAGCACAACAGATTCCTGGTGTTACCCGATAAGGAGTCTCTATTAAAGATTGTTTTTCAAAGTTTCCTGGGGCTGAGGGTATTACGGGTGCTTATGGCTGTGGTGAAAGGTTTTTAATTGTGCTGAGTAGCCTGGTACAGAGTAAGTTAGGAGGGCCCTGCAAATTCTTTCACACCACTTGCTAGCTACTGTTCAGGACTACCCCAGACTGCTGTTTTTTCCCTTGGGATTTATTAAGCCAAATACTGTTAGTGCCAGTGATCAGATGTTTTCAGCTACTTCACTGACACCTCTTCATTCTTCAAACACTAACAGTCCCCAAGAAGCACTGAGCGTCTACTGAGTGCGGAGCATTGCAGCTGTTTTGTGTTAATTTCAATCCATAAAAGCCGTATAGTATATATAGCCTTGTCAGATACCTGAGGTGGATCAGGAAGGCTGTCCCTGAGACAGTGGATAGGATACTGGGAAGAATCAATGTGGGTCCTGAAGGCATGCAGGGGAAGGGTGTAGGGCACATGACCCAGACTGATGGCTGCAGCTAGGGGAAGGCTTTCCTTATAGGCTAATCTAAGGTATTTCAGGCTTGGTAATGGTGGGAGATGCCTGGGAAGGCTGGGAATCTCTATGAGTCATCATTGGTCACCCTCGGAGGGGGAATTGCTGAGGGTGGGCTGTGCTTTCCTTGGAGGGTGGTTTCAGAGTTAACTGTATGCTGTACTCTGGGACAGTGTATTGCTTTGGGGAGGGGTGGTCTGTGTGCTTTACTTTTGGGTGGTGCCTTGCTTGGGAGTGAGGTTCAGAGTTAACTGAAGAGACACACAGTTTTTGTATATGTTGGTCACAGGGACACTCAGGAAAGACCTGTGTTTTTGATTGCCAGGGATGTGGAGGGGGTGGGTTATGGAGGTTCAGAGTCCAGCCACAATAGTCAGAGAATCCCAAATGCAGTTCCCTCTGAGGACCTTTCCAGTTTTCACAAATGGAGCATCATTCCCTCTGAGCCTTCTGGAAATTTTGCTTGATCTTGCTGGCACATGGCCAACACATTATTTTATAATAGGGTTTGCAGTTTTCTTCCCCTTCTGACCTTGGAGCACCCCCAGAACTAAGCACTACTCCCTGGTCACCTGTCATTGCTCAGCTCCTGTGGAGTCTGAGGTTACTTCAGGCCCATTAACTTCCAAGAATTGTTTTTCTCTTTTTTAACTTTTTTTCTATATAACTCTTTAAATGTGCAAGATTTTTATACCACATTTGGTCCTTAGGTTACATGTAAATAACGTCTCATTTATATTTTTACATACATCTAATTGAGCATTTTCAGGGGTAGTGAAATAAGGGTTGGGAAAAGTGGGACTTTATATATAAAGTAATTAATCAGTAACTAAAAGTCATCCAAAACCTCTGCCAAGACCCAAAAAGCTTGATGAAAAGATTTAAAATAGCTTACCATTGAGGCAGGGTTGCCTCCTTTATGTGCCCACCTTTTTGAAAAGAGTAGATTTTTGCTTGACTGCTGGAGCCGGTGAGTTTTGGATTATGTTCCTGCAGGTCAGCTGTGCTGGATAGTCTGTGAGGACTCAAGAAGGCACGCTTTGGAGGTGGCCACCCAGCCTGGCCTGCCTGTGCATTTTTAGGGGGCACTTTCTTGAGGTTGTTTGAAGGTCATTCTCAAATTTCATGTTGTGGACTGTTTGTGATTATATTGTGATCAGAATTCCTAGTTCCTGGGAGGACACTTGGGGACTTGTCTTGTCTTGGAGAATATCTGGTCCAGGGTGCACCCATACCAGGCAGGGAACACCACCCAAGGTTCTTGGGGAAGAGACCCTTAAGTGTTCAAATAAGACAGGTGTGAACACACTGCTGAACTCAAAACTGGGCACATGGCTTCTTCATATTTTATATAATTTTACATGTCAATTCTTAGTGTATGTGATGTGTTCTGGCATCATCCCCTGGTGACACTGGGCACAGGCACGTGGGCTACCGGGATCAGTGGCTGTTGCCTGTCATATAGAAGTCAGGGCCCAGGGAGGGACCTGCCCTTCATTCTCTGGTGGGTGGATAGGCATGGAGGTGGAGTGATCACACAGTGTAATGATGTGTGGAGTCACAAGGCTTAGGCACCATCTCCTGATCAGGGTTAGAGTTAAGAGTTGGAATCTGACCCATGGGGAGATAGTGAGGCAGGAAGGAGACCATACAACTTTGTGGTTGGAGGGGCTGTGCCTGACTTTAGGACTGAGTCTTTTGGCCTGGGGCCCCTTTGAGAGCACGTGAGCAGGGAGTTCAGGAGGGAAAGGGCGGGAAAGGGCAGGAAAGGAAGGGAAAGTAATTGTAGGCCAAGCCAGACAGATGTGGTAGCATGCTCTCTTGCTGTGCTAGCACTTACATACATGGCCCAGATCTAGGAGCTGCAGCCTCAGGAGCTCAGGCCATTTCTGCATTGCATCATGCTGCCACCATACATTCCCAATGGAGGGTTTGCTTCTTCTACCTCCTCCTAGTGTCTAAACAGGCCACATGACTATTAGCTACTGTGGCTCTGCAGCTGTCAGGACTCAGCCTGACTGCCTGCCATCCTCCATTTCTCTGCCCCTTTCTGCTCTGCATATTCCCATGCTGAAAGCATACATTTTTTCACAGTCTTAGAAACTTCCTTTAGGTTTTCCTTAAAGATTTGCTCTTTCATGGGTATGTGGTGAAAGTTACTTATTTCAATATAATTACCATTAATTTTCATTTCTGACCTTTAAAGAGACATGGCTGAGCAACCACCTGTATTTCGATGGGTGTTCTTTTCCTTCAGTTCAGATTAAACTTTTCATGATGGGCCATGCAGAATCGACTTCATAGGTGGGTGATACTGTACACTCTATTATATGGGATGCTGTATTTACAAAGTTTCTGTCTCTTTACAGGTGCTTGCTGCCATCTTCTACGTCCCAGAATATGCACCTACTCGTCACGGATACCTCTCTCCCCTCTGTGCAGCAGCCCCTCTGAGAATGGAGAGATAGGACCCCTTCAGACCCGCATGACACAAGGCCGTGCTGTGTCACCCCCATTATCTCAATGGATCACAGCCGAGAGGCTGAGATGGAGCTGAGAAGAGGGCCCAGCCCACCGAGGGCTGGCAGGAGCCATGAGGTGGATGGGGACAAGGCCATGTGCCATAGCTGTTGCATCTGTGGCAAGAGCTTCCCCTTCCAGAGCTCACTGTCACAGCACATGCGCAAGCACACAGGGGAGAAGCCCTACAAGTGTCCCTATTGTGACCACAGGGCTTCCCAGAAGGGCAACCTCAAGATTCACATCCGTAGCCACCGCACAGGGACTTTGATCCAGGGGCATGAGCCGGAGTCCGGCGAGGCTCAGCTGGGTGAGATGCGTGTCTCTGAGGGCCTGGATGGGTGTGCTAGCCCCACCAAGAGCACGTCCGCCTGTAACCGCATGCTGAATGGGGCGGTGCCAGTGGACAGCAGCAAGATCCTTCTCAGAAGCAGCCGTAAGGAAGCAGAGGGCGCAGCCAGTGCCCAGGAGGAGGTAGAAGCCATGGTCCAGTGCTCCTTCTGCAAGAGCCGGTTTGAGCGCAAGAAGGACCTAGAGCTGCACGTACACCAAGCCCATAAGCCATTCAAGTGCAGGCTGTGTAGCTATGTAACCCTGCGGGAGGAGTCACTGCTGAGCCACATCGAGAGGGACCACATCACCGCACAGGTGCCCAATGGCAGTGAGGCCTGCGTGGAGAATGGCAAGCCTGAGCTGAGCCCTGGGGAATTTCCATGCGAGGTGTGCGGTCAGGCCTTCAGCCAGACCTGGTTCCTCAAGGCGCACATGAAGAAGCACCGGGGCTCCTTTGACCATGGCTGCCACATCTGTGGCCGGAGGTTCAAAGAGCCATGGTTCCTCAAGAATCACATGAAGGCGCACGGTCCCAAGGCAGGGAGCAAGAACAGGCCGAAGAGTGAGCTAGACCCCATTGCCACCATCAACAATGTGGTACAAGAAGAGGTCATCGTTGCTGGCCTGTCCCTCTATGAGGTCTGCACAAAGTGCGGGAACCTGTTTACAAACCTGGACAGCTTGAACGCCCATAATGCCATACACCGCAAAGTTGAAGCCAGCCGGACACAAGCCCCGGCTGAGGAGGGGGCTGAAGAGGGCCCCGAAGAGGGCCCCCTGGACACCAAGCAGTTCTTCCTACAGTGCCTGAACCTGAGACCATATGTTGCTGGCGATGTGTCCCTCAGTGGGCAGGCTGGACGGCGGGTGGCTGAGTTGGACCCTGTCAACAGCTATCAGGCCTGGCAGCTGGCCACTAGGGGCAAGGTGGCCGAGCCAGCTGAGTACCTCAAGTATGGGACCTGGGATGAGGCGCTGGCTGGTGATGTGGCCTTTGACAAGGACAGGCGCGAGTACATACTGGTGAGCCAGGAGAAACGCAAGCGTGAACAGGATGCGCCTTCCACCCAGGGCCCCCCCAGGAAGAGGGCCAGTGTGCCTGGGGACCCCGTGCTTCCTGGCCACCTTGACCCCCGTCCTCCTGCTCGCCCCAGCCGCAGGGCCACAGCTACTGCTGGCCATGGCAAGTCCTCTGAGTGCTTCGAGTGCGGCAAGATTTTCCGCACCTATCACCAGATGGTGCTTCACTCCCGCGTGCACCGCCGGGCTCGCCGTGACAGGGATCCTGATGGCGACAGGGCAGTGCGTGCCCGCTGTGGTTCACTCAGTGAGGGTGATTCGGCTTCCCAGCCAAGCAGCCCCGGGTCAGCCTGTGCCATTGCTGACTCTCCAGGCTCTGGCCTGGCTGAAGAGGCCGTGGATGATAGTGGTGAAGAGATTGTGCCCGAACCTGCAGCAGGTGAGCAAGTGTACTGGGGTGCAGCAGGTTCCGGTAGTCTGGGCTCATGTAGCCTCTTAACCAGCTGACCCTGTTTCCAGGAAGCTCTGTGGTAGAGGCTCCATGCTTAGGTGGCCCTTTGCTTTGATGACCTTGTGCCCTAGGCCAAGGCAGCCCTGTGTTCTGGTAACTTTGTGCTCAGTATCCTGTGTATAGGTCACTCTTGTTCACAGGTCCTGTGTCCACATGGCTCTGTACCCAGATATCCTGCACCCAGTGGGTACCTGGATGGAGCTTGCACTGGTGGTGCTGATTTGTCTCCCTTTTGCTAATCAACGCACAAATGTGCAAATTAATACCTTTGGCTTCTTGAGTCTATGGTTGCTCCCAGGCATCTGTAATATTTTTTAAAAATATTTTATTTATTATTTTGTGTGTATGTGTGTATTGCTTGCATGTATGGAAGTATACCCATGTCGTGCAATGCCCACGGAAGTCAGAAGAGGGTGCCGGATCCCTTAGAACTGGAGTTACGGACAGTTGTTAGCTGCCATGTGGGTGCTGGGATCTGAACCTGGGTCGTCTGCAAGAACATTCAGTGTTCTTAACCACCGAGCCATCTCTCCAGCTCTGTAATTTTTTTTTAATATTTTATTATTTTTATTTTTTATGTGTAGGTGTATATTGCTTGCATGTAGGTAAGTGCACCTGTGTCGTGCAATGCCCGCGGAGGACAGAAGAGGCTGTTGGATCCCCTGGAACTGGAGTTAGGACAGTTGTTAGCTGCAATGTGGGTGCTGGGATTCGAATCCGGGTCTTCTGCAAGAACAACCAGTGTTCTTAACTGCTGAGCCATCTCTCCAGCCCCAGCATTTGTAATTTCTAGGCAAGGAGTCCCTGAATCCATCTGAGATGTGCCCATTTTCTACTATTCTGTCCCAGACCAAAGTTCTCACTCTATTACACAGGCACACATACATACATCCATGCATCACCTATGAACACATCCACATGTCATACATGCATGGACGCATACTACACATAGACAGCACTAACACACACACAAGCACACATGCATGCACACAAATATTCACATAGGCATGTATCACACATGTACATGGAAACATTACACATTTACACTAAAATATGCACAGTACACTTGCTCATGCACAAATAAGCACACATGTATATGCACACACAGACATGCACATATCATTAACATGCATGTAAATACACCACACTTTGATATCATAAACATACTTGTTGATGCACAAACAAACACACATGCACACGTACTTATGCATGCAACACACACATAACATGTGTACTTTCTCTTTGGCACACATCCACTTGCTCAAGCATATATACTTTCCTCCACTCGTTTCTTAATGCCAGACAGCTGGGTAGAAGACTAACTTAGAACCAATGTGCAGTTATAATTAATCTCCTTGGATTCAGGTAACCCTGTGGGCTTAGAAAAGTTAATCGGAACAGCTTTCTTTCCAAAAGAAAGTAGCCATGAACATGTTTCAAGATCCTTGGCTGACTTTGTTCTTATCATTTTCCTGTTTTAAAAAAATAAGTGGAAAGTATTTTAGTATTGCCTTTATTTTGCCTTGGGCAATTGCTCTGAGGAGATGGTAATGTTTCAGTTGTGAAATTTGTTAACTCTGCACAAAGCCAGAGGATTTTTCCTTTCTTGCACACCCGTCGGTGACTCTTAGATGCTCATTAGAGCCCTTGGCAGCACTGCTTGTATTCTGCATTGAGGAAGAGGACCTGCGTGCATTTCTTCAAAATGAAGAGAAACTAATGCCACTTTTCCTCATGGGGGTAAACCCAGTGAAGTCGTTACAGATTAGTGTGCTGGAAGGGTGTCTGCTGCACTCAGAGTCACAGAGGAAACAAAACTGGACACACAGGCCATTTCGCAAAAGCCATTCCTCCAGCCCTTTGGGAATCCTGAGCAGAGTCTGAGCACCAGCAGGGAGTGGTGAGGCCAGGCAGCCAATGGCGTTGCTCCTCACTGCTGGTTGGATGGGGCAGGGAAACAACTGCTTGCCAAGGGTAGGCTCATATTTTAAAAATACTATTTATTTTTTGTGTATGCGTATATTGCCTGCATGTATGTAAGTGCCACCCATGTCTTGCAATGCCCATGGAGGTCAGAAGAGGGCGTCAGATCCCTGGAATGGAGTTGCTGATGATTGTTAGCTGGCATGTGGGTTCTGGGAACCGAACCCAGATCCTCTGCAAGAGCAGCCAGCGTTCTTAACTGCTGAGCCATCTCTTCAGCCCCCCCCCTTTTTTTTTTTCAGGAGGAAAGAATTTTTTTGGTTTACACAGCCCAGTCACAGTTCATCATTGAGGGAAGCCAGGGCAGAAAGTCAAGGCAGGGGTCTAGAGCTAGAAGCTGAGGCAGAGACCACAGTAGGCTCACTCTTGAAGGTCTTCTGCATTCTCATAGCAGGTTAGGGCACAAAGCCTGGTGAGCCGATGGCAGTCTCTGGTTGACCTTTTTGAAATTTAACCCTGGTTTTTCTCTTATTTTTACAACTATGGATTTTTTTTGACTATTCTCATAATACTGTGATTGTTTCATGGTGTGCACATTAGATAACATATTAGGACAGCACTGTATTCTTTTTCCATCTGAGGAGAAATGTTTTTGTGCAGCACTGGGGATCAAACCTATGGCCTTACACATGTCAGGCAAGTACTCTTCCAGTGAGTGACATTCCTAGCCCTCATTTTTTTTCTTTTGGAGACAAGATCTCACTGGTATGTTCAGGCCAGCCTTGAACTCTGTAGCCCAGGCTGGCCTTAAACTTGTAATCCACTTGCCTCTGCCTCCTAAGCAGCTGGAGTTACAGACGTTCATCACCAGGTCCAGCTGGAGAGAACTGTTTTTAACATTTGGAAAAGCTGCTAATCCTTACCCTTGTCTCTCATGGTGAAGTCAGGTGACTCCCGATGAACCAATCAGTGATCCCTTTAAAGACAGGAGGCTTCCAGGCCAAATTTCTTTCACAATAAAGTGGGTTTTGCTTTTTAAAATTAAAAAAATGGGGGCTGGAGAGAACACTGGTTGTTCTTACAGAAGACCCAGGTTCGAATCCCAGCATCCATATGGCAGCTAACAACTGTCCATAACTCCAGTCCCAGCGGATCTGACAGCCTCTTCTGTCCTCTGTGGGCATTGCATGACATGGATGCACTTACCTACATGCAGGCAATATACGCATACACATAAAATAAAACAAAATTTAAAAAATGTTATTTTATATGTATTTGTCTGTTTACTTGTCTGTATGAGGCATCTGCAGAGTCTCGAAGAGGGTTTTGACTCTCCTGGAATTGCAGTCACTTGTGGTTGTGAGCTGCCACATATGTGCTGGGAACCCAACCTGGGTCTTCTGTTAGAGCAGTATGCACTCTTAATTCCTGAACCATCTCTCCAGACTGGCTTAAAAAAATTTTTTTTTGTTGACTTCATTAAACATCAGTGAACATTGTTCCCTTTACACAGGATTATTTACATTTTCCCTATAAGTAACTTACTTTTTTTGAGACAGAGTCTCATGTAACCCAGGCTGACCTCAGAATTGCTATGTAACTGAGGATGACATTGAACTTCTGATTCTCCTGCCTTCACTTCCTCAGTGCTGGCATTAAACAGATGAGCACCCCTACACCCGGTTAATGCAGTGCTGGGGATCTAACCCAAGGCTTCATGCATGCTAGGCATATACTCTACCAACTGAGCCATCTCTCCAGCCAAGTTTCTTACTTTTTGAAAGTTTATACATTTCTTACATGTTCCTATAATAATAACATATATGTTATATTTGATTTTTTTAAAAAAATTGACCATGGGAACAGGTAGGAGGTTGTGTTACAGTGGGAGTATAGGGATGCTGATGGGCCTTGTGGATCTGTAGATGTCACTTTCTGTGATCCCAAGGGCAGTGTTTTCCCACCTGAAGATCTGGCCTTTCTGATTGTAGTAGCCATCAGTGTGTGACCTAGCAGTAAGTTATGGAGTCTCAGCTGTTCCTTAAGGAGACAGGCCATGACTCTCAAGGCACTCTGACTGGCAGGACTTGCTGAGGCTTTAGTACTGTTTTTTGAAAAGAATCTGGGTGGTTTAAATGCTGGGTTCTGCATGGTGTCTTTTTATCTACCTTTTTCCCTTAAAATACCAAAACTCAGAACTTTGGAAAATGCTCACCTTTCTCCCTACTAAGATGGCCTAGAGATCTTTAAACAGTTAAGATACTTTACATTCCCATAGAACACTGATGGGGTGCTTAGGTAAAATTGCAAAGCTTGCTAACTCCAGGGAAATGACAGGCACTGGAGCTCTCCAGAGAATTGGCCTGACACAGCCACATTTGAAGTTGGCCTTCAGGCCTTTGTGTCTGTTCCAGTAACTTTGATTTGTGCTGTAATTTTACCCAGATCACAGTTTATATGTATGTTCAGGAGTTGATATAGGTCCTGTTTCTGTGAAGGGCTCTCTTTTAAAAAAAATTAAGTGTATAAGTGTTTTGCCTACATATAAGTATACACTCGTGCGCAATGCCCACGGAGGCCAGAAGAAAGAGTCAGATCCTCTGTAATTGGAGTTTTGGACAGGTGTTAGCTGCCATGTGGTTGCTGGCGATGGAGGTCCTCTGCAAGAAGAGTGAGTGCTCTTAACTGCTGAGTTATCCTTTGGTCACAGCGCTCTGTTCTAGGCAGCCATCATCCCTGACATACATAACAGTGTGACATTGAGAACAAGAGTCATGGAAAGCTGCTGAGTTGGAGGTGTTGAGAAAATGACTTGGCGCAGGTATAAACTTATATAGTGGAAGATCACAGAAATTTATATTTTTAAGTAAGAGAGGTGCAGGGTATATAATCAAGTGTACAAAACCCCAACATTTGTGCATAGAAAGCACAGCCAGGAGGCCCTGTAGGTGCAATTAGAGTTTGGCCTAGAGTTGGCCATCCTGACCTGCTCTCACTGAGCAGAG